GTTTCCCTAACTCCACTTATAGTGGAGTGAAGTATGAACTGGGAGTTGGAAAATAGGAACTGAATCTGGAACATACCTTCCTGAAAGTCCCTGTAGAAATTATGTTCTCTCTTCATACTCTGGTTTTAAACATTATTTACTACCTGAAACTCATTAATTTATTTATATGTTTCCATCACAGCAAAAGAAGATTCCATCTTTATACATACAATGGTTCAGGCAGACCTGAGCTACTGTCAAAGTAATGGTTTACCTCTGTTCTTTAAAATTCCTTTTCTATTCCTTTAGTACTAATTTTCCGATTCTCCCTCTCCTGAAATACTGAGTGGTTGTAAAGTGCAGTAGGTGAAAAAGAAGAATGTATCCCAATGGTTATTGCACATGTTATCTGCCTGATCCACCTCATTTGCAAAAATGCAGGAAAAGATGTGTGCTTTTCCAAAGCAGTGTGCAGGGGCTAGGTGTGAGGCTGCCATTACTGTAAATGGACTGGGTAAAGTAAATCCCTCACACAGCTAGAAAAACATAACTCTTGCTAATGCCATCATTTCTCTATAAATAAAGACGGCCAACTACTTATCTCACACTCATACATGAATAGAGTAATGGCTCTGGCTTTGGGCAGTCACTCTGGAGTATACTTGGAAGCAGATTGTACACCCAAATGTTTTCCAAGCAGATTTCTATCTCAAAGCTTGAGAGAAGATTTCCTAAAATGAGAGAATATGTTCAGATGAGAACATTGGCATTGAAACAAAATCATAAAGATGCATTAAGAAATAAAACAAATTATAATCAAGGGATTGCTTCTGCTCCTGTTGAAGTTAATGGATACCTTCCTGTGCTATTCAAGAGGAAGAATATGAGAGTGACTAATGTGGTCCTGTGCAAGGAACTGATATTTGACAAAAAGTTGTCAAATATTCAAGTTTTTAAATACCTGTTTGGAAATAGTAACAAGTTACAACTCAAATGCAGGCAAACAGATAGAGATGTATTTTCCAAGTGACACACAGGGGCCAAGGGGTGCTGTACAAATTTTTTATTTTCTTATGAAAGTCCCAGCACATTTTGCCAGGTGAAAAAACCCCTAATTTGCTTGTGTTTTGTGTGAATTCATTCTGTAATGCTAAGGTTCCCTGAGGATTCCGTGTGCCCTACTACGCCCAACCCAGGGCAAGCAGAGCTTTTGCTACTATTCAAGTTAAGCCGGGTCAGTCTGGGAACTCAGACTGCTAGAAGAGGGTTTGCCTTGCTTGTCTTCTTTGTGACACCTCCCACTTGTGGGCTTCAGTATGAAAAGACAGAGATATTTCTGATCAGTTTAAGTACAGCAGAGATTTGAACTGAATGTGTAAGAACTTTGAAGTGAGCAGAACAAAACCAAAGGGGTTAGCTGGACAGTGACAATAACATTGAATCAACAACTTGATGGATGGAACTGAGACAAGTTAAATTAAGAAATCTGGGCAAGTAAGTTTGGGGGTGAGTAAGAGAAACTACAGGGATAGAAAGACGATGGAGCTTAGAACAGAAACCAGTTTATTTTTCTCTTACATCTGCCCTGTGTTTAGTTAGCAGAGTATTCCAAACCTCTACAGTACAGACATTTCTCAACAATTGTGAACTGTCAAAATCTAAAAAATTTCTACACAGTCCTTCCAAAAGAGCAAAATATATTATTTGACATGTATTTTGAGGTTTGTTTACATTGTTCATCTACCTTCACACAAAATCTTCTCAAGAGTTATTCCACAAGTCTCTGGCCTGTGTCACCTTTGCAGCAACACAGTGAAACCAATTGAAAAGTTGTGTTGGATTTTGAGCCCAACAATCAACAAAGGTTGGTCCTATATTTAGTAAATGATCTAATATAGAAATCTACCAGTTACTTTTCACTATCAAGCAAGTTATTCACAGTGGCTTGTATATTTTCACCCTATGGCTTTGATGCTTTGGATTCTATGCCTCTTTCTTTTTCTTATATACTCATATTCCAAAGTCCTTAATTTTAACTTACCTTTGCTTACCCACTTTCATTTCTTCTCCTGTGCCTTCTTCATCAGACAATCTTAGTGCTTTAATTTGCAAGGATTCCCACACAAATGGTCTTATGCTGCTGGTAGACAGTTTACAGGGGTATTTTGATCAAGACAGATTGTGCCTTCCAGACTTAATCCCTTAGGACTGAATCCAACTTCCTTTCATAATGTTCACATTTATTATGTACACAAATAAGAATCCTAAACTACAGTCTAAGATGCTGGCCTGTCTCTGTGATATTGCCTTGCTGTTGGCTTAATTTCAACAACGCTAAACCAAAACTTCAGCTCTCCCATGTTGCTTCTATTCCCAGTTACTGGTACCTTGCCTGTCAGTCAAGCCTGTAACTTCAGAGGTCATTTTTCATGTAGACTGCTCCCCAGGATATCATAACCAGTCTATGTGTACATCTTGTTCACTGTTTTTGAACAGTAAGTTTCAAGTTACTCCATCTAGCATCTCACAGTTGATTCTACCACATCAAACAAAAGCTGCCCATCTTGGCTATCAAGATGCTTCACAGCTCAGTTCCACTCTGCCTGTTATCTTTATTCTTTATTGATGTCATCCCCTACTTCTGACCAGCCAAGGATGCCCATCTTCTAATTTCACCTGTTGGATTTCCAAGCAAGTAATTTTAGTTACTTTCCTTCATCTCCTACAAACATTTATACTGGTCCTTGAAACCTACTTAATTCTGACAGAGATTCTGCTCTGCAAAATGTGGCTTGCTATCTGCTCCTTGCAGTTCAGGTGAGAATGTGTGGCTGTCAGAGGTACTTATCTCCAGGATCTGGCACTAGACAATACTGGCAGCTGTAGCAGCTCCCACAGCCTGGCAGAGACACTACTGGAGTGCTGAACTACCCTGAAGCTATTCTGGAATGGCCTGTACAGGCTGTCTTTTTGTTTTGAGAGAAATAATCTAGCCTAAAATTCTTGGTTTCATCAGAAACAACACCAAACAGCTGGACAAGCTAACAAGGATTTTATGCAGGTCATCAATGGGTTATTGAAGATCTAAACAAGACACCTCAGGCATTATTTATTAGACGGACATAAAAACTATAAAACATGCAAATACAATAAAGATGTATAATGTGAGTGAAATATACAGTGTTCGTAATGACTGGAATCTAATACTACTTTCAGGGGATGGAAAACTATTTAACAAATTAGACAGTTCTAATAGAAAAACAGATCGTAACTTGTAGAAAAGCCAAGTCTGATATACTGCATACCTAAGTAAGTAAATAAAGAGAGCTATATCTTGCAGTTATTTAGATTTGTATGCCTGGAATCTGACCCTCCTGATTTTTGTCTGGTCAGTAGCACACAACAGTAGGTTTGCTATTTGTCATAATACTAGCATGAAATGTACAGGCTGTGATTTAAAATAATGGCATTAATCAGGATACAAACTGGAAGTTTCTGCATGGGTCAATTAATATTGGCTAATTTAGTAAGTGGCCAAGCCTGGAAATCATGTGTATAAAAACGCTACAATATTCTTAGGGTCAAATGTCTATTATGAAACACAAAAGCAAACTGAATTTTCCATGATGAATTACAATCAACCATTTGGTAATGAAATAAAGCTGAATTTTATATAAACACAGATCTTCCTTTTTACTTTCTTGGATAAAGTCATAGCAAAATATTATTTATTAAGTGGGCTGTAACTCTCCCAGATAAAGACTTCTGCCTGACGTTTGATGCCAGCTATTCTCCCTGTTCTTTCCCCTTTGAAAGGGTTTATTATTCAACTTAAGATTAATGTTTCTCTAATGGAGTTACTGCTCCTTTTGTGTTTGCATCACCTTTCCTGGGCTGAGACGACCAATGATCTGAATATTAATTTTTACAAGTATTTATTCTGGCAGCAGTGGTTGCTGAATTTACCTGTTCTCTGCTCAGTGAAAAAGTATTATTTTGAAACTGGATCAGTTCCCTGATTTAATTCAGCATATGAATGCACAAAGAGTTACGCCCGTGTTACAAGGCAGGAGGGAAGTGAGAGGAACTATGAGGCCTGAGTGGAAACTGTTTAAGAAAGCAAACATCCAAGAAAAGTGTATGGATCCACTATCACACCTCCACAGTCTTATATTCCTGCAGTCGTTTGTATTTCTGCAAAATCAATGTAGAAGACATTCTAATTGGAATAGCAGTTGTTTAGGCCTTACTGTCAGAAGTGAAAATGAGCAGTGGAGCTACATGGTCGTGTAGAATCAGGCTCTGACAATGATAGCACATGCCATGCACAGACAATAGCAGTCTAAGCAATGTTACTGTCTTCCCTTACTGATTTACTAAAGTTGGTTCAATCCAGGAGCTGCATCAGCACAAGTCAGAGTGGCACTGAAGACAAAGAGATGGGAAGCGGTGACAGACTGGTCAGGAAAGGATGGGAACTGCTTCAGCCAGAATCACTACATATTGGCAAATCTTGGTCTGGTTACTTGCAGTATTAGATTAAAATCAGATAGTTATTTTACTGTTACTTGCTTTCTATCCCACTGCTCCAATGGTTACTTATGTCCTCAAAGCAAGAATAACTGATCCTGAAAGTCAGCTTCTGAACTGCATTTGTATATATGATATGGTGCTGCTGACAGAAACTTCCATTTGGAGGGAGGAAAGGAGATAGGAAACTAGAAAACAGCTTAGTCAGGAGTGGAAAGAGAAGCTTTCCCTATCATTGTCATATCCATTTTAGGAAGCCATTGCTTTCCTCATCTTTTGTTGCTACCCAAGCAGTTACTCAACACCCCTGATTTTTACTTCCTTCTTTTCTGGTGACAACCATAAGAAATTTGGACTTTAGTCCTGAATGAACATTATCACTGTGAGAAAAATCTCGGAAAGTTACAATATCATATTAGAAAACAGATAATATTTTAAATCACATGGTAAAACACACTAAGCCTTGTAAAATGAAATGAAACTTAACATACCTGCAACATCTTCTCTGATTCATCCAAGAAATCCTCCACGCTCTGATTTTCAGGGTTAAATTTTTTAAGCTGTTCGACTATTATTGCAATATGTTTTCCATGGCTGACCATCTTCACCATAGAGAATCCTATAAATACAGTAAATCATTAATTTTTCATGCCTTCTTCAGTTGTAGCATAATGTATGTTGATAGGCTCACAGAAGGTATACTGCAGTAATGTAGAAGAGAACATTTAGGTCAAGCTTTCAGAATTACAGTTATTCAGAACAGCTGACAGGAGAAATGAGAATACAGTACAAACATAAATAAAATAGAAGGCATAATTACATAATTCTTATTCTGCAAATGTCTCTACATTGAGATTGCATGGCAAGGTTTTGGTGGGGGGGGCTAGAAGCTTCTCCCTATGTCCAACAGAGGCAATGCCAGCTGGCTCCAAGACAGACCTGCTGCTGGTGCAGGTCAAGCCCATCAGTAATAGTGGTAGCACCTCTGGCATAACATAATTAAGAAGGGGAAAAAAAACCACCTGCACAACACCAAGAGCAATTGCAGCCCGAGAGAGGAGTGACAAAACGTGAGAGAGGTAACTCTGCAGACACCAGGGTCAGTGAAGAAGGAGGGGGAGGAGATGCTCCAGGCACCACAGCATATTTCCCTGCAGCCAGTGGTGAAGACCATGGTGAGCCAGGCTGTTCCCCTTGCAGCCGTGATGGTTAATGGTGGAGCAGATATCCACCTACAGCCTGTGAAGGATCCCACACTGCAAAAGGTGGATGCCCAAATGAGGCTGTGACTCCATGGGAAGCCTATGCTGGAGCAGGCTCCTGGCAGGACTTGTGGCTGTGTGGAGAGAAGTGCTCACACTGGAGCAGGTTTGTTGACAGGACTTGTGACCCTGTGGGGGACCCATGCTGGAGCAATCTGCTCCTGAAGGACTGTGCCCTGTGGACACAGGCTGGAGCAGTTATAAAGAACCATAGCCCATGGGAAGGGCTGACATTGGACCCAGGCTGGAGCAGGGAAGTGTAAGGAGTCCTCCCCCTGATGAGGAAGGAGCAGCAGAGACAATGTGTGATAACCTGACCTCAACCCCCTGCCAGAGAGGAGGTACAGAAATCAGGAATGAAGTTAAGCCTGGGAAAAAGGGAGGAGTGGGGGGAAGGCGTTATAAGCTTTAATTTTTATTTTTCTGTTATCCTACTCTGATTTTGCTGGGTAACAAATACATTTATTTCCCAAGCCAGATTTGTTTTGCCCATGATAGTAACTGATGAGTGATCTCTCCTTGTCCTTATCTCAACCCACAAGATTTCAATATGTTTTCCCTCCCCTGTCCAGCTGAGGAGGGGATGGTGGGCACCTGCCATCCAGCCTGGGTCAACCCACCACAGTCTCAAAAGAGTCTTAGGATGATTTCTAAAATGTTTTCTGTATCAGGTTATTTGATGAAATCAAAGACAAACCAAGAGAAAAACATGAATTTTTGCATGTGTGCTATGCAGGTCCTATTCAACACATTACTCTTCCTGGTGACATGCAACTGAAAGCAAAATTTTAGTCTTGCATCTTATCATATATTGTTAATAACAGCTGATTTTTGGAAACAACAGAAGAATAGAGACAGAAATGGGGGATATAAGGAAGCAATGAGACAGTGTTTGTCAGCAAAGTGAGCAGCAATAACAACACATCAGTAGTCTGGGCCACCATCAAGGTTTCTGAAGGTACAGCAGTAGGGTACTTCTTATGCTTGATGCTTTGTTTGTGAAATGACTGAATTATACTTATCTCCAATATGGTCTTACTCATATGCATGAGTTTGCAGAACTGGATACCTAGATTTTAATGTTCCCATGGCAAGAACTGTTATTAATTTTTCTATACACATGCACATGTTGCTGTGTATGAAAAACCAGTAATAGTCAGGGCTGAAAGTCATTTATCTGGTTTAGCAATGGGAAACAATGAGCACAGAAGTGATTTTCCAGGGTGAAAATCAGAATACGTTTTTGAAAATCACTCTTCTATTTTATATATCATATTTTGATGTTAGAAATGAATGCTTGATCAAAATGATTCATTCTCACTGTGGTAAAGATAATTAATTTCTTATTTTAAAAAGATACTGTAACATTTCTAGATACAGTGCTTTCATACTCTGCCTTTCAGCACTATCATACTCAATAATAATTGCCTAGACATCACTTTTTATTACTGATCTCAAACTGCTGAAAAAAAAAAAGTCTATGATTATGTTCAATATAGGCATTTAGTTACCCAGAACAACTAAGTGTCCAATTAAACCAAAAGAAGTCCAGCAAAACTAGGCTGGATCATGACAAGGCAAATAAAAAAAGAGATGCTATGTCTCTGCCACAGGGGGATTGGATTGGATGCAGATTGGATATTAGGAAACATTTCTTCACAGAAGGTCTTTTCCAACCTTGATGATTCTATGATTAGAAATAAGTTTGAGCTCCCATGCTCTGTACATGCTGATTTTCACCCATCCCCCCAAATAACAATCATTACACCCAAGAACTGGAATATGAAAACTAAGACATACAGTATTTCCTTGAGAACTCTGGGCACACAGGGGTTCTTAACAGAAAGAACTTCACCTGTAGTTGTATTTAAACAAGCTGCTATTATTATCATCAGTGCTTTAAAACATACACATCAGGAATAAAATGCTTTGTCTTATGACATGCACCATATTTCTACACATTTAGGAGAATATTCAAATTGCTATGTATACAAATTACATAAATGTATACCATGTACAGAATGCTAGAGATCTTATTCCATTATTAGGTACAGAATTGCAGTTAGGGGAGGTAAGAAAGAGCCTGTCTTAGCCTTACTTTACAATGGAGCTTGGAGATATTTTGACAGCAATTACACAGTGTAAGACTGGCCCCAACTGTAGAGGCTGGTTTCATTGACTTGAAAGATTCCTTCAGGTTTTATGTTTACTCCTATGTTCCCAGCCCAGAAAGACTGTGACTGCATTTCCTCTGATGAAAGTTGTCCCTCTTAAAAAGAAGGCTGGACAAAGTCTCCCTGAAAAATTCAGTCAGACCAAGTAGCTACTGCTCAAAATGGAATAGGTGTTTCTCTCAGCTCTGTGCTAGGAAAAGAGCCACTGAATACAGGGCACAATTGTCCCAGTGGTTCCATCCTGCCATTTTAATTTGCTCTCAACTTTTCTGCGTCGATGACTGTTACCCGGGGGTAGCAGAGAGCAGTGCCAGGCACGGGTCCTTATTTCAGCAGGTTCCTCTCTTAGGGCATCAGATGGAAAACGCTCATCTTGAGCCTGAATCTGATGCCCATTTTTAATCTGCATATATTTCAATGCTTTGCATACCTTACTTACTTACACTTGACACAGTGTTGTGGGGGTTTGGTTTGGTTTTGTTTTTCTAACACCTTGTGGAACTTCGCGGTTAAACACGAATTGCACAAACCCACCGGCAGCCAAGTCGCGTTATGTTTACGAGGCAGCGAAGCCCAAGCCCGGCAGGGCTGGCGACTTGCCCAGGATCACAGCATGGTTTTGTTTTTCTAACACCTTGTGGAACTTCGCGGTTAAACACGAATTGCACAAACCCACCGGCAACCAAGTCGCGTTATGTTTAGGAGGCAGCGAAGCCCAAGCCCGGCAGGGCTGGCGACTTGCCCAGGATCACAGCAGCCCAGGGAAGTTCGGGGAGCGCATCCCACACACACCCACACCCACCTGCACCCAAACCCACCTGCACC